TTCCTAGGCTCTGTAGAATTGTTGAACGATTGAAAATAGGGTTGTATATTAACTTCAAAAGCGAAAAGAGTCGTTGCACGTTTTTCAAAGGTGTGTTTATGGGTTTTGCAAGTGGCTTGAGATCCATAATTTAGATTAATGGGCACAAATGTTCTTAATTAGCCAGAATATAGTCATGGTTCCTATATATGGAACCTGGAGATAACGGAACGGTCCTCGAAAGATCCGGAATATCCTTAAAACTGGTCTATTCATAAACCCCTGACCCTAGAACTCCGCGGTTTTTTTCGAAAACATTAAGAACTGTGATATAAGAAAGAATTTGGGTTCATGACATAAACATGAACCCGGATGGCCATCGGACCGTCCTCTGGAAGATCCGGAACATCCGTAAAAGTGTTCAATCACTTTGTACACTTTTTGAAAACCAAAAATGGCTCATGTAACGAAATTATGAAAGATTTTGAACGTTAATATCTCAGTTGCCCCTGGACCAATTTCAATAATTTTATCATCAATCGATCAGAAATATCTCTACGCATGGCTTGAATGTTTATTTTTAACAATGCTTTTGAATTTAAGAAACTATTGAAAAAGTGATAAATTTCAAGAATTATCCAAAAACGTCGAAATAACTAAAAAATCCACCAATTACATACGCTGCTTCCCCAACACAGTCATCAGAGATTCGTTTCTAGACAAAACATGTCGATGTAACATTGTTGCTTCCCCAACATTGTCATCAGAGTGTCGTTAGTAGACGAAACAAATCGAAGTGACATTTGCCTTCGATATTCGGGCGTGTGCGAATAGGGAGGATGCAATTGCGTAACATTTTGTACACTTATCGCCATATTCAGAACCACACGCCCCCAACGACCACACAAAATGCTCTCCAGAGTTGCAGGGCTGTTACAACTGGCGTGGATTTCGCGAATTTCGCGGATCTCGCGATTTTCGTGGATTTGTCGCGGATTTGAACTTCCAGTCGCAAAAATCGTGGAAACATTAAATGATGTCGCGAAAATCGCGGAAACATTAAATGATGTCGCGAAAATCGCGAAGGGACTGATGTACTGTCACAAAAAATTTCCGTCCCGGATTATTTTGCTGTCATCAATTTTGTTGTTCATTTGGCTCTCAATTTTTACCGGTTCAAACCAAACACCCTGTAAATAATCGAAAAATGATCTCAATTCCATAAGTCACACCGGATTTACACGGAAATTCCCTGAGATGTGTCCAATGTGAGAAATTTTCCTTTTTTCCAATATGAAAATAGCTTGTTTCGTTGTCAAATCATAAACGAGTCGTATATAAGCGAGTAATTGCCATGTATACCGGATATTCTAGGTTCTCCAAACCGTCCTGGAGTTCAGTTGATTTGTTCTACTATATCAACCAAGACTGCAATAATGTCTGTAGTATCGAAATATGTCCAAACAGGTTCAAAGTGTCTATGTGGATTGTACCCGACCTATACGACCTACACTCAAAAAAATTATCACATATCTAATGGATGAAAACCATGTGAATTTCACATAGCTTTCATGTGATCACATAGCTAAAAATCTCACCACAAAATCACATGAATATTATGAGGCCGATGAAATTCATATGAAAAATCATATAAAATTAACGTGATCGCATAAATGTTATGTGAAATTCAGATGAATTCCATTAATTTTGCTTATGGATGAAAATCATTTGCGATTCCAATGGGAGCTACATGAAACATATTTTCGGTGTACGTATACAAGATGTTATAGGTTCTGAAATCATTCTGTAGATCAGGTTATTTTTCTACTTGATCACCCAAGACTAATTCAATATCTGTAGTATCGAAATATGCCCAAACAAATTTGCAGTGTCTATGTGGATCATGCCAAATGTTTTAGGATTTCCAAATCGATTTTCGTTACTACAGATATTATCCTAGTCTTTGTTGATCTAGTAAAACAAATCATCTGAACTGCAGGGCGATTTGGAGAACCTAGATCATCTGGTATACGTGAAAAAAAAATTAAACATTATCCATATAGACACTATGGATCTGTTTGGACATGTTTTGATGCTACAGACTTCATCCCAGTCATGGTTGATCTAGTTGAACAAATCATCTGAACTCCAGAACGATTTCTTCTTCTTCTTATTCGCATTTCGAGCTTATTGATTAGTGCATATTAGCTTATTGCATGCTCTCCACTTAGTGTTCTAAATGCACTCTCAAAGTTATTAATTGAGAGCTTTCGATGCCAATTCCAATGCATGAATTTGTATATTGTGTGGCAAGTACAATGAGCCCAGGGAAGTCGAGAAAATTTCCAGCCCGAAAGATTCCCTCGACCGGACCGGGAATCGAACCCGCCGCCTCCGGCTTAGTAAAACCATGTCTTTACTGACTAGGCTATGAGGCCCAGAAGGGTTTGGAGTACTTAAAACATCTGGTATACATGACAATAGTTTATGCATGATCCACATAGACACTGTGCATCTGTCTGGAAATATTTCGATACTAAAGACATTGTCCCAATCTCGGTTGATCTAGTAGATCAAATTATCTGAACTCCAGGACGATTTGAAGAACCTTGAACATCTGGTTTACTCGGAAATAGATCATGCATGATCCACATAGACACTTTGAATCTGATTGGACATATTTCGATACTACAGACATTATTGCAGTCTTGGTTGATCTAGTACAACAAATCAACTGATGTCCTGGACGATTTGGAAAACCTATAATTTCCGGTATACACAGTAATGAGTCGTGCATGATCCACAAAATCACATTTATAAGATTCGGTTATGATTTGACAATGAAAAGTACTAGGTTCATATTAGAAATAAAAAAATATATCATGAAAATGTCTCACCATTGGGCACAACCCAAGGAATATCCGTGTAAATAGACAACCGCGACGTGACCAACAAGCGTGACTTATGAAACTTTGGTAATTTCTCGATTATGTGCAGGGTGTTTGGTTTGAATCGGTAAAAAATTGAGAAAACAAGAGCCAAATTAACTACAACATTTAGGACAGCAAAATTCGTCTCTGGTTAATTTTCAAGAAAATTTGCATTTCAAATGAAAATGCATCTTTTTTTTTAATTCAAAGGTTACAAACGATACTCCTTTAGCTCAGTCGGTAAAGGCGCAGCTACAAAGCAAGTACATGCTGGAGGCGACTGAGTTCTATTCCCGTCCGGTCTATTAATTTTTCGGGTTGAAAAATGTCTCTACTTCCTTAGGCATAGGATGGTACAGGCATAGAAAGCTCTCAATTAAAATGTGAAAGTACTTCAAAGAACACTAAGTTGAGAGCTGGCAAAAATCTAATATGCAATAAGCAATTAGCTTGAAATGCCATGTAGTAGTATACAAATTTTTAGGCAATGAAAACACTTTTATTTTTTTTGGCGCGGATTAGTATTTGAAGTCGCGGATTTCTTCTGAGAAATCACGGATTTCGCGGATCAAATTTAGAAAATCTTGTAACAGCCCTGGAGTTGTAATCTTGAAACCAAACTTGGAAGCAGGGGTGCAAGTGGTTTTGATCGATGATCTTCATCGACTTTCTGTTTCGTTTATAACTAGATGGCAAACACATTCATTGATCCGTTTGTTGTTCTGAATGATAGAAGAGCACAGCAGAAATAGTGCGAAATAGGTTAGTGAAGCCATGGTCATCAAAAGAGGAAATCGATGAAGAGAATTGACTTTCAACCCTCTGCTTCTAAGTCCCTTAATTCAGTCGTCGTCATAGCAATGAAAGCTAGCATCGCACCGCTTTTGGTTCTTGAGTTACATTTGCTGGTTGCAATTCTGCTGTTCGACATTTTCCAAGGACCACCAAAAAAACATGAATTTACACTGTTTTCTAGAGGTGCCTAAAAGTCCAATTATTCGATTAACGATTAATCGTACAGATTTTTCCAGCTATTCGATTAAATATTTATCGAATTTTCAATTATCCAAGCGCATAACCGACATCCCTTCTTATTTCTACTCGTTTGATTAAGCGCAGTAGAGAAGAATCATGACGTGAAACAGGATCATAAATTCGCCGAAAAAAGTGTAAAGTGTCTTTCTGCTAAAGGCTAAGATTTACAAACTTGTTGAGAGAAGGAGTTTAACGAGAAAAACTAAAAAGAGGAGGAGCTTTAGCTGGGTAGACACTGATATTCTGCGGCCTTCCAACCTGTCGCAGACACCAGTTCAACCCCTGCCCAGCAGCAAACGGGCCGAGACTCTTGCGAGTGCCCAACCATTGAACCGAAGAATATGGGATTGTCCGGTCCGATTTGCTGATCCAGCAGTCTACACGTCATCATCATCTTCCAGAGGCTTTAAGTCTGTACTACCATATCGGCCCTTTTCAGGGCCAACAAGATTTTCCAAGAGAGTTAAATTTCTGAATATGTCCCAACTAAAATTCATATCAAAAGGTTCCTCTCAGGGCAATCATAGTCCTACTAAAGAGTATAAACAGAGATAACCCCGCTCAAATTCCTATTCCCACACAAAACACAAGCTCCTGCAGCGGTTAACAAATAACATTTATTATATAAGACCACGTAGTCCTACGTCACCATTGCCTACAACCCAATAGGGCTGTCCCTTGTAGTTTTTTTTTTAAATTGACTGAAACAAAGTTTTCGTTGTTTACATTTGAAACAAATTCATAAAAGATTGAAAAGGATGCTCAAAACAAACGTTTTCAATCATCAACTTCTTTTCATAGTCTGTTTAACCATAAAATAAGTGATGCAAATTCAAATGCTAACTTGTGATTCATAGGAAGTTTAATTATACCGGCAAAGTTAATGCTACATTATTGTGAACCAAGGTCAATGCTGGAAAAATCTGGACAAATCATGAAAAGTCTGGATGCTTGGATGGTCCATATAAATCTGGAAGGCTGGCAATGCTGCTTGCAGGCCGATTTTGAATCCCTTGTGCTCTCTAACGAGAGAGCGCGCTCGAGACTGCAGGGGGTTCAGTTTTCAATCGGACGTCCAGAAGTTAAGAAGTCAAACAAACGGCGAAGTCGCTTGCAGTGCGTCGCGCGCGTGATCCTTTGGAATAAATTACTTTACTTGTGATGTGGATGTGAGAGGAAGATAACGGGTTGAACGACAGTAACGAAAGCGATTATTTGCCAATCGAAACAAAGCCGACTACATGGAATCCTTGGCGAGGAGTATGATTTTCGTGGCATTCTTTTTGGGCTGCTTCGCTCTGGTTGCGAACCGGAATGCCCCAGTTAGTGGAATTAATTCGCAAGTGCAGAACAGATTGGATACGCTTGCAACGGAAAATAATTTGTTGGATGCTGTTAAGTTTGCAGAAGATGTGATTGAAAAGTCCAAACGCATGGAGTCCACGATTGCAGGTTCTAGGGTGAAGGTGACCAAGGGAAGCACTTCCTATGCGCAGGCCATCGATGGTTATTCAACTCCTAGTACCCAGAGACAGGACTACGTAGCGAGGACCGTGCTGAAGGCTACTTCATTTTTCCTGAATACCCATTGTAAGCCACAGGGAATTTCGCCCCACGAGTGCGGATTGTATTTGAGCCACAAGCTGATACCGAAGAGCAAGTTGCTAGAGAAATGCTCTAACATAGTGAATGCTAAGACATTTAACGATGAATATCGTCGTATGCTGCCAGCAACTTACCATGATGGAATTTATCATTTCCGGAAAAGTGTTGAAGGTGGTGACCTGCCGTATCCCAGGAGCATTTCGAGCAAATTTCATGGTGCTCTTGGCCAAAATCACAAAGACAGTAAACACAGCGTAGCATTAGTCCAGTGGACACAGTTCATCGAGCACGACCTTGCTAAATCTACAGTTCAAACGATGCATGACGGAACCGACATTGAATGCTGTACTGCAGATTTCAATGCAGTTATGCCGAGGTATCTTCATCCTGCTTGTAAGCCATTGTACATTGCTGATAATGACACCCACTACAAAACACACCGCGTAACCTGTTTGAACTATGTGCGAAGTGCCCTATCCCTCGGAGATACCTGCAATCTTGGACCTGCAAATCAACTGAATCAGGCAACAAACCACTTCGACCTGTCCCAGCTGTACGGAAACCACGAGAGCGAAACCCTCCCACTCCGAAGCCACCGAGGAGGCAAGCTGCGATCACAATCGTTCGATTCCACTGAATATCTACCGGAAAACGACGACAAGAAGCTCTGCCTAGTCAATGCCACATTGGACGCAATCTGTTACGCGTCGGGAGATTCTCGTGTCAACATTAATCCATTCATTACACTGCTTCATACGCTCTTCCTGCGGTCACACAACCGCATTGCGAAACACTTGGCAGTGATTAATCCCGACTGGGACGATGAACGATTGTTCCAGATGGCGAGAAAGGTCAACATACGTATCTACCAGAAGATTGTCCACGAATGGACACACACCGTGTTGGGTAGTTCCGTGGAAACCGACCATTCCGGCAGCAAAGAACCCCGTGTAAGTAACGAGTTCGCAACGGCAGCTATCCGCTTCTACAACTCGATGATGCCCGGGGAAATTGCAAATCCATCCGCAATCACCAGTCGATATTCGGCATTCGACATGGAAGACCTATTCTACAAACCCAAAGACCTTCGTAAAAAGGAGTACTTTAACCATTTGATCAGCTCCGTTCTGCAGCAGAATGCAATGTCCTTGGATACCAGCTACGTGGATGATGTGGCACATTTACTGTTCAAAACGCGTAACGTTGGTACGGACGTGCTTGCGTTGGACATTCAACGAGGTCGAGATCACGGTTTGAGCAGCTACACAAACTACTACAAACACTGCACCGGTAGATCTATCAACTCGTGGGAAGACCTTTCCGGAACTGTCAAGCCATCGGATTTGGAGAAGCTTAAGGCAGCCTATGTTTCAGTGCGAGATATCGATCTGATCGTAGGTGCAATAGCCGAGAAGCCTGCCTCCGCGGAGGCACTGGTCGGTTCAACTCTGGCCTGCATTATCCGGGATCAAATGGCCCATTCCTTCGGTGATCATCACAGCCAGCAGCACCGACAAATCGACAGCCTATTGGTCAACTATTCAGGTGCTCGGTTCCTCTGCGATACGGCACTGGTGTCGCGTGTGCAGCAAAACATTTTCCGGCTGCCTGCGGTCGACAACCCTCTGGTGCGTTGCACGCAGCTTCCCACGTTGGATCTGAGCACCCTGCGGGAGATTCATCACTAGACTATAAATTATTTATGAGCCATTTATTCTCGCGATGAACGGTGACGATGGCGGCGGCGGCGACAAGGAAGTGTATGTAGCATGTTGTTTTCGTCGTAAGAAGCAACTTTCATCCATTGCCGTTTCGATAGTGGTCGAAATGAAGCAAACAGTTAAAAGACTCGTTTCGCTCGAAGAAGAAAGAAGCCATACCGCAGAAATGAAAATAAAATTCTCATTCATTATTACATGGAGGCAGAATGCCATGTAAACACTTATACATGACTGTTATAGGCAGAGCCGTTCGGAAACGTATCTCTAGTTTAATTTAGCTGTAACCTTTTACTACGTAGTGTTTATTTTGTTCACTTGAATAAAACCTGATAAGCTACTTGGCTAGTTTACATACCAGTGTGAGACTGATCAGCGCAGTTTGTTTGTTTTTCAATGTTTCGATGACGCCATATGCGGGATAGGGAGAGGAGATAAGAGGTACCTACTTCGGGGAAGTGGCTGCAAGTGTTGCTTACAAGAAGCTGCGGCAGAAGTCGGGGGCTATATCAATACAATTGATACCGTCGCGGAGGTCATCGATGGTCTTACTGGTGGGGCACATTTGGGCTTACTTCTCACAACTAAACTGGAAGCATTATCAATCGATTTCTAAAAAAGGGTTGCTTCCAAAACATTTTGATTATTACCAATAAAATTATTGAAAATTCTTTCGTGGAAGTGGAATACACTCCTCATACATATTGCAATGGAACAAATGTGTTCAATTCGATGCCTAGACACATTAAACGTGCAACAACACTAGCAGAATTTAAGAGACAATGCATTTCACCCGTTAAAACTGTATTTTCAACAGTTATCCAGTGATTTTTTTGTATTGACAAATTATGTATCCACTATCGACAAATCACCTTCAACGAATTTTTCTTCATTTTTCGTCAACAGTCGCTCGCCAGCTGGCAAAATAAATGGAGTGAGGGAGTGTGGGACGATGGCTATATTCGAAGATTCCTTGGTTCAAAGGGGTGGAGGTGGGTCGAGACTTCATTCGTGTGATGTCTTGCCCCATGTCCAATCACTATTCGTTTAACACTCACTTGTTCCGTGTTGGGCTGGGCGATTGCAATCTCTGTGAATTTGGACAAGGTTACCAGGACGTTGATCATTATTATTTGGTCATGTGCTGAGCATCGTGGAGTAGACAACCAAATGTTCCAGTTCGGGATGTTTTGGCTAGACACGATCTGGAGTTTATGCAACTCATATATGTTTTCTTGATGAATATTAACCATAGATCGTATGCTTGTGTTTAGATTGTATTTTGTGCGCGTGGGTGTTTTTTTAATTTTTGTTTTGTAATAATAGTATAATTCCGGAGAACTTCAAGATTTGGGCGTAATTGTTTTTGTAAACAAACACGTCAATCACCGATTTCCCGTTTTTTTCTCCCTTGATTTGTTTTCCGTCGATCTTGTTTTCCGTGCTGAGCACCAATGCTACAGACGCCAGGGAGGCAGCTACCACACCTGGACTTATCGACCCATCAACTCATGAACCGGGTACCAACGGCTGTACTTCCCTTCCGAAGGAAGGCGTGATCAGAGATGTTATGCCTCAGAACATCCCGGCGGCGCCGACTGGGATTGAACCCAGGCCTTTTGGGGTGAGTGGTAATCACGCTTACCACTACACCACCGGCGCCGCTAACCGATTTCCCATGAATAAAAGCTCAATCTCGCGAATAAAGTATACCAAATGATAGAGCTATCATTCCTTTACCTGATCGTGTTGTTAGTTTTCTAGGCTGAAGTTTTATTCGCGATTTGCAGGGATTGGAGTAGGCACGTAGCCATGGGGGAGGGCTATGGGGCTGAAGCCCCCCCCCTGAATTATTATAATAATGTGAAAAAAAAATCTGACCCAAGATAATGGATATATGTTACTTGTACTGTACAGGTAATAGATATTCATTACCTGGGTAAGGTTTTTTTATTTTTCATATTATAGGGTAGAGAACTACTTCGGCCTAATCGCCCTTTTTCGGCCTATCCAGCAGAAAACTTCAAATAAATCCATGATTCCAGAGTTAACAAGTCAATTAGGCGTTTCGTACGATACTTTGGTTAATAAGCTACTGAACGAAGTCAACGAGAACGCGTGATATGAACGTTTGCACCCATTATTCTCAAAAACAAAAGAAGCGCTCCGACCGAATCAATTTTTATCTTCATCCGATAGGCCGAAGTGAATTCAAAAGCGTTTCAACGGCGTTTCAATGCGTTAGGCCGAGTTTAGAATCCGTAGGCCGAGTTTGGCGTCAAGAAGCAGTGTTAGACTTTTGACAATATTTCAACGATTGGTTTCTCTTTATAAAATCTTACGGTACATACGGAAAGGTAAATAAATGTGGAAGTCATCAGTAATAATAACATTCCGTTTGGTGCTAAACTGTGCTAGATTAAGAAATACTAAGTGCGGGTTGTGCTTAATAGGCTGGAAATGGGGTAGTTAACCCTATTAAAATAATTTATGGACGAGGCTTCAGGCCTATAGCCCCCTCTGGCAATGGGACTCGGGCTGTATCTATATAGTGTGCATGAACAATTTATGTTTGCAGCGATTCTGTTAAAGATCATGGAACCATCGAGTTTTTATGAAAGATCAGCCTCGTTTCACTTCCGTAGGAACTAGGGTGTAGACCCAATAAGTAGCCTTCTAAACACAATCCGCACTGTAAAGGGTGTCCACGATGAAATTGCCACACTATTAAATTGCTCTAACTTTTTAACCGTTGGGTAGAATTTAATGAAAATTTGGGTGGATTTAGTTCATAGTGCATTATTTACATCCTGCAAGTTTTAAAGTCATGTGATCAAAACTCGCGGAAATGGAGTCGAAAGAACAGCTCGTGCGTGATAAAATCTTGCACATTCATCACGAGAACAAGGATCTCTCGCATCGTTCCATCGCTAAAACGTTGGGAATCGCGAATTCCACGGTGTCGCGAGTGATTAAGCGGTTCGAGGAACGGTTGACCACCGATCGGAAGCCCAGAAGTGAAGGAAAAAGTATTCCGTACAACAGCAAAAATCACAACCGCGTAGTTGGGGCCTTCAACCGAAATCCGAACGCCTCCGTTAGAGATGTGGCTAAGAAGCTGCACCTAAGCCGAAGTTTTGTCCAGAAGGCCAAAACTAAGGCTGGGCTTCGAACGTTCAAGGTACAAAAGGCCCCTAATCGCGACGAGAAGCAGAACATGTCCGCCAAAACCCGTGCCAGGAAGTTGTACCTCAACATGCTGACGAAAGTTGAATGCTGCATCATGGACGACGAAACATATGTGAAGGCCGACTTCAAACAGATCCCCGGCAACCTGTTTTTCACGGCCAAGGATAAGTTCAGCGTTCCGGAGCATGTCCGCACTCAGAAGATGTCCAAATTTGCGAAGAAATTCCTGGTTTGGCAAGCCATCTGCACGTGCGGGAAGCGGAGTGCACCTTTCGTGACCCAGGACACGATGAACGGACAGGTGTACATAAAAGAGTGCCTCCAGAAGCGGCTGCTTCCTCTCCTGAAGGCCCACAACGTCCCAACAATCTTTTGGCCGGATTTGGCCTCATGCCACTACTCCAAGGACGTGCTGAAGTGGTATGCGGACAATAAGGTCAATTTCGTGCCGAAAATGTTCAACCCTCCCAACACTCCGGAGCTCCGCCCCATCGAGAAGTACTGGGCGATTATGAAGCAGCACCTTCTTAAACGACCTAAGGTAGTGAAGACAGTCGAGGAACTGAAGAAAGTATGGGTCTACATGCAAAAAACGGTTGATTCACAGGTTGTGCAGAATCTTATGGCCGGGGTTAAGGCCAAGGTGCGGGCATTTGCGTATGGACTGTAAATAAAATACGATTAAAATGGTAAAATGAAGTTTAATAGTTATTTCTCAATCCCTGAAAATTTGATGGCAATCGGATGAAAACTCGAATTTTGCGAATCAATTTTGTGTGTAGCAATTTCATCGTGGACACCCTTTACCCCTCTTTTTCAAGCAGGATTTCATACAAAATAGAATGTTTCTACAACAAATGACTTCTTAATTTATTTACCTATCTGCTGTAATTTTTATGATATAAATCTAAGTGATTTTACATTGTTCCTGCCTTGGAAATTCAGTATTTTAAACAGGTCTTCTAAATCTGCATGTCAGTATAACAATTCACATCAAAACTAAAAACTTAAACTATATGTTATCTCTGTATAAAGGGAATTATTCGTTGCAATTAAAGATTGCAACGATTTTTCCCTAAAATTATTAATTATTTTGTTGGAAATTTCTAGATAGAGCTGGAATTAGGGCATAACAGCTTTTGTAAACAATGGCTTCTCTCGATGATTTCTCGAAATACATGGCTCTTCCTGGCAAATCAACATTACCATCGAATAGGGGAAGACTTCCCCTACCCGATGGATAGGTTGATTTAAGTAGGGGTGCCTTGAGTTGCTAGAAATCGACGAGAAAATTCATTGTTTATAAAAGCTGTTACGCCCTAATTCCAGCTCTATCTAGATTTGTTCTAAAGTCTCAACATCAGAGTTGCGACCTATCACAATCACGATCGCCAAAGAGTTGATGGTACTAACGCTTTGTACATTCCTATCAATGTGCTCGTCGAAGCTCTCTCCATGACTATCCATCAAGTTGACGAAAGAAGTAAAAAGCAACTAATGAATGTCGTTTTCTGTTGTGATCCATCGCCGATCTGGTCATTCCCGACAATCACGACACTCATCTGTGGTCGTTTTGAAGCAGTTGCTGCTTTGCTTGCTTATTTGAGTGTGTTGGTGAGTGAGCCCAACAGCTTCCGTTTCATGTTGCCTGCTTTGTTTGTAACTCACACAGTCGCACCTGCCGAGACGAACTTGGAATGCGTAGGCATTGTTTTCATTTTCTTCTGTCGCTTCGCTTTTTCTCATCATCGTACTGCAGAATTCTTCACTGTTTTCGTTGTGCTTTTCATCATCAACAGTGAGTGCATCGTTTTGCTTGTGAGCAGCGACCATCACTGGTGATTATTTGATTGCCATGGCTCTACCTCTCACTGCGTGACAAAACGATCTGTCAGCGATAGTTGGTTGATGCGAAGACGAGTGTCACGTGAATGTCATGATATTTTGCATCACTGGCTGGTTGCAGGTAAAGGTGGAATACGAGCTCTGGTGCCGGACATCCATAAATATTAATAAGAATTTTGAGGCATTTGGCCTGCTTGATAAATGTGACTCGACGTATTTTCCAACAATCAATGTTTTGTTGAAGATTTTGGTGACACTCCCGGTCACTACAGCCAGTGTGGAAAGATCTTTCTCCACACTGAAACGAATTAAAACTAATGGGAAACCAGCGACTTTCGGGCTTGGC